CGTCGCCAACTTCATACGGGCAACCACCACCAGTGGTGGTGGTTGCCCGTATGGCGGTCGTATGGTCAGAGCGACGAGCTTCCGAACATGCTCGATTACCAGGCCTTGCCACCGCAGGTCCACAACGTGCTCGCGGTAGCACTGCCGTATGCAAGCACCGGCCTTCCCGCCAGCAGGCGTATCGGCAATCTCATTGGGCATCTGGGACCGCACGGGTATCAGCCAGGCCCGCACGTGTATCAGCCAGGCAGCCGGGCACCCACGCGCCCGCTCCGCGCCATCGCAGACGACGATGCGTCGCGCCTTTAGTATGCTTCTGGATGCGAAGACCATTCGGTTGAGTATACCCCTACGTGTGACTGGACCTGTTTGCGAAAGCAGGAGAAAGTATGGCACCCCTTTGTGTCCAGAGCCGCGCCGTCTGCGTTCTTCCTTTCTCGCTTCTCTCCTTTCCTCCTTGTCCTGCTCCTCCTCCCCCTCTTCCGCCTTGGAGCCGTATTGGAACTGTCGATGGCCATCTCCCTTTCTCCCTCGCATGTCTGCTTGTACATACGTATAATTTCAGAACTTACCGTGCATGCGATCGTTTACAACATGGTGGACCGTGCGTATGTCACGAACCTTGTATACATGTGTTTCTCTCCCTCCGTCTGGCTGTGCACGCGCGCGTTGGGCACTGAGAGTTAGGATCATAGCGCCATGAGTCTATGAGCAATGCATGCGTCATCCTTGGGACTGTATAACATCAGTGTAACACATGTACTTCTGTAATCGCATCCCCACGAATTTGCCCCAAAAATGTGACCAACTATCTTGGCACTGCGTACCATCTCACGTGTACCGTGTACCACATCATATGTAACAGATGTGATCAACCTCTGTGGGTGTGTACCCCACGCCAGTGTAGTAGCCAGGGTCGTCCGCACGCCACGAAGTGAAGTGTCCCAACGTCATAGGGCGGGAAGCTGGGTGTGGGTGGTCTCGAAGAGTCGTTTGGATATTTGGTAGAGCTTGAACGGCCCCCCCACGAAGTGGGGGTATTGGCTGGTGTCGCAAGAAAACCCTGGCACTGGGGAGAACACTGAGCGTTCGGGTAAAATGATTGTTGTTGTTGTTGTTGTTGTTGTTGTTGCCCAATGTTAATTACCAAACAGTTCTTATTGTTGGACCCCCCCTGGCGCCCTGGCGCTCTAGCCTCGGCTACGGCTACATTTTCAGTCGGTTGTCGGTTGTCGGTTGTCGCCCTTCCCCCCGCGACCCACCCGCGACCCACCCCGCGACCCACCCCGCGACCCACCCCGCGACCCACCCCGCGACCCACCCCGCGACCCACCCGCGACCCAACACGCGACCAGCCCGCAACCCATTCCGCGACCCACCCGCGACCCACCCGCGACCCACCCGCGCCCCACCCCGCGACCCACCCGCGACCCACCCGCGACCCATCCGCGACCCACCCCGCGACCCGGCCCGCGACCCACCCGCGACCCACCCCGCGACCGACCTGCGACCCACCCGCGACCGATCCACATTGGCTTGAAGACGAAATCGGCGCCTGCTGCGGGCTCGTTGTATGATTTGTCAGACTTTGGCGCCTGCGGCGGGCTTCTCCAGAGTTTTGCAGACTGCCGACGTCCCCGCCGCCCCTCACTCTTATCCGCATCTGCGGGGTACTACGTAAATATATGTATCCGCGGCCTCGCCGGCCGGGCCCCTGGGCTGCGCTCCCGCAGATACGAAGCCTTTTTCCGCGGACGCCCCGCGCGGAGCATACCTGTGCGACCGCGTATCCGCGGGGTCTCGCCCCAAGACTGGCGAGGGCGCGGATACGGGCATGTGTTCGCCGCCCGTGAATGGTGACTTCGGGAGTCTGGGAACCCAGGGAACCCAGACCCCTGATGCTATGATTTTTCCATGACGTCGACCCCCAGAGGTCTCGACCCACTCCCCAGGACCCGGCTCTCATCCCGAGCCGTTTGTTCGGGGCTCAAGAGACGGGGGTCAACACAAACGGGGTTCAGCCAGAGCGCCGGATCTTGCAGGATCCTGCAGCGCCAGGGTCGCATTGACCCGGGCTCGGGCGCAGGATCCTGCAGGATCTCGCAGGATCCTTCGCGTTGACCCGGGTTTGGGCGCAGGATCTCGCAGGATTTTGGAGGAGTCTGCAGGGCCTGACTGGCCCGGGTCTGGACTGGCCCGGGTCAGGAGATCCCCGACTTTTGGACGGTCCTTGGCTGGCTGGCGAGGGCCCGAGGCGGAGAAGAGCGAAACGCCTCCCGTCCGGGCCTGGGACGGCGGCCCCCCTCGCGCAAGCCCCCTGGGCACGCACGCGCCGCCACCTCGCCCTGGGATGCAGCCGCTGGGGGGTTAACTTCTATATCGGCGCGGGCACATCCCCGTGACAAAAAGCTTACAACAAAAATGGCGTGGGGATGGGAGCGGAAGCGTTGTTGAGACACTGTGGTCGGGGCCCTTCGCATTAAGTGCCATCCGCCTATCAATGTTACGGAGCACCATGAACGGCTCACTTCGCGTTGCACGGCAGGCGTTCTCTTTGGGTTCACCTGGTAAGACTTGACGTACTTACCCCGAAATCTGCGAGGCTCTGAAGAAGCCCGCCGCAGGCGCCAAAGTCTGACAAATCATACAACGAGCCCGCAGCAGGCGCCGATTTTCTGGTGAAACCAATGTTGGTGCGTCGCCGGGTGAGTCGCAGGTCGGTCGCGAGTGGGTCGCGAGTGGGTCGCAGGTGGGTCGCTGTTGGGTCGCGGGTGGGTCGCAGGTGGGTCGCGGGTGGGTCGCGGGTGGGTCGCGGGTGGGTCGAGGGTAGGTCGCGGGGTGGGTCGCGGGGTGGGTCGCGGGTGGGTCGCGGGGCCGGGTCGCATGCTGATCGCGGTTGGGTCACGGATGGTTCGCGGGCCGGTCGCGGGGTGGGTCGCGGGTGGGTCGCGGGTGGGTTGCGGGTAGGTCGGCTGGGTCGCGGGGGGGACGTCAACAGCAAACAACAACAACAACAACAACAACAACAACAACAACAACAACAACAGCAGCAACAACAACAGCAGCAATAACAACATCACCAACAATAACAATCAGTCTAAGACTATTCGCTTGTACTTGCCCGTGTGTCATTCAAAACGAGTTCCCCACACCCTCGATACCCGCCCTCTTTGTTTTCGATCACGCCCTCTTTTGGGGGATTATTTCTCTCTGCGGGGGGCGGCGGGCTTAGACAGGCGGGCAAACCTGAACGGGCGGACGATCCTTCGTTGGCGTACGTGTGCCCACCATTGGAGTTGGTCTGCGCCCTACAAAAAGAAGAGGGGGAGAACGAGGGAGAACGTGAGGAAGGGAGAGGGAGGGACGAAGGAAGCGGGAAAACGCCATGAGAGAAGGAGTGAAGAGAGTTGATTAGAGGCAGAGAGAGAGGGAGAGAGAGAGAGAGAGAGAGAGAGCAAAAACATAAACAAAAACATATAAGAGAGGCAGAGAGAGAAAAAGAGAGAGGGGAAAAAGAGAGAGAGAGAGAGAGAGAGAAATAAAGAAAGAAAAAAAGAAAGAAAGGGGGAGGGAGGAGGCAGGAGAGGGGAGGGAGAAGGGAGGAGGGAGAGGAGGGAGAGGAGATAGGGCAGAGAGGCATAAGGATGAGGGGAGAGAGGAGGGAGAGAGAAGGGAGGAGAGGAGGGAGGAGAGGAGGGAGGAGAGAGGAGGGAGAGGGAGGAGGAGCAGGAAGGTAACAGCGTGAACGTTCGAGGAAGTCCTAGGCCAAAGCGCGTTCCTGGAGGAAGTCTCGGGCGGGAGCCCACGACGGGCGGGCGATCCCCTGACGGGCGGGTCGGGCCGGTGGGACATTCAAGCGGGATGCCTGAGTATGGCGGGAGCGCGATTCCTAAGTAAATTGTGACGGCGTCCTTAGCGCAGCGTGTTTCCTGAGCGTCGAAAGCGCGATTTCTGAGTAAATTACATGGAGGTCACAGGCGAAAGCGCAATTCCTGAATAACATGTGAGGGGTTCTCTTGCGGGAGCGGGATTCTTGATTCAATTGCGAGGAAGTCTTGATTAAATTGCGAGGAAGTCTCAAGCGGGAGCGCCGTTCCTGCGTAAATTATGAGGAAGTTTCAGATGGGAGCGGGGGTCCTGACTAAATTGCGAGGAAGTCACAGGCGGGAGCACCGATCCTGAGTAAATTGTGCTCAGGCGGGAGCGGGGGTCTTGAGTAAATGCGGAGAAAGTCTGAGGCGGGAGCCGTTGTTGTTGTAATCCGGGGGGCCAGGGGCACAGTTTGAGTATCAAACTCTCCCTGTGAAGATACATGGTGTGAGCGTCGAGGGGCACACTTTGATTGAGAAAAACAGCATGCACAGGTGAGGGGGGATCAACCAAATTTCTTCTTCAGAAGTTCAACAACAACAACAGCAACAACATCACGAACAACAGCAACTACAATAACAGCGCAACAAATATATTTCTTCACCACGGATCCCCGTTCAGCCACGCACCCAGGGACAATGATTAACCGTTTGGCCCCCTCGGACAATAACCAACGCCTGCGGCCCAGCGAAGGACCAAGTAGGAACAACACCCCGGCATGAAGTGGCATCCGCTTGTCAATGTTGCGCGCAAGCCAACAGAAGACATGCCGATTACCTGCCCTTGGTGCACTCTTGCGCGCGCTGCAACTTGTGAAAGGCGACTATAACTTGATGATCCTCCTGTCGGCGTTGTCGTTGGCAGATCATTCAAGATAATCGTCTTGAGGATATTGTTTTCACTTTCCCCGGCTGTGTATTACCCTCGTCGACAACTGGCCCAATCCGCCCTTCTCCCGTTGAGTCCAGCTTACTTCCGTTTGATCCGGCGCAGTTCCGCTCAATCCTGTGTAATCCCAGGCTTGATTCGGCCTGATTTGGCCCATTGGCTCCTCAGTCGAGTTTAAGCCAGTCTTCAATCGTTCAGACGAAGACCTCCCAGGATTTGCCTCACAACTCTCTGCCGCACAGGAGAGCGAGGGCGACGACGGGCCCGAGTTCGCCTACCGCTTCGCGACCGGCGACGCGCAGGATCAAGGGGGCGGATCTGCCAAGGTCTCGCGCTCCGCCTTCCAAGGAAGCTCCGCTCTGTATTGATCCTCCTTCTCCTCCCTCCTCCTCCTCCTCCTCCTCCTCCTCCTCCTCCTCCTCCTCCTCCTCCTCCCCCTCCTCCTCCTCCTCCTCCTCCTCCTACCCTCTTCTTTTCCTCCTCCCCCTCCTCCTTCCTCCTCCCTTCTCCCTGCTCCTCCTCCTCCTTCTCTTCTTCCGTCTTGATCGTACTCTTTCTCCGCACCGCCCCGCAACCACAGCACCCAGCCCCGCCATGAGTGGGCCCCCTGCCAGGCGGGCGCGGTCCGCGGAGCTGGAGCCGAACCTCCAGGGGGAGTTGAGGCAGGAATTCGTGCTCAAGTTCTGATTGTCGTACAAGCCACCCGTTCGCGCCAGCCTGTGCAACGGCGGACATCCGGACATCCTGACCACACAAAACTCAGGCGGGCCCTGCAAAAACACCTACGCTCGAAACGGGGGGGCGCTCGAACTGCGCCCCCCCGCTCGCGCAGCGCGTAGGCTGCGGGGCCGTGGGCCTTCCGTGCACGGCAGGTCAAAATATGTACGAGAAGGCTTGTTATTGCAACGTTTGCTGGGGCACTCGGAGCACTGCCCAGGCGGGGGCAACGCAGGCCTCCCCAGCCCTGGGCGCCACGCAGCAGCCCGTGGGTGTCCCCAGGTGCGTCGAGCCCGCCGATCAGACAGGCCGCTGCGCCCGCGGTGCCCGGCCTTGGCGGGTTCAGGGCGTGCGGATCGACGCCGACGAGTCGGGAGGCATCGCCTGCATGGGTTGCGAGCAGCTCGCGTACGCTCTCGTCGCGACCGAGGGGCCCTCGGGGCTGATGCTCTTGCGCGGCGCCTGCGGGCTGGCCGGCCCCCGCTTCGGCAACGGGGCGCCCCACTCACAGGCCCCGCACCCGCTGGGCCAGGAGAGCAACGCCCAGACTTGGGGCTCGCCGCCGCGCCGAAGCCAAGCCGCTCATGGGTGGCGCCTCCGACGCGGGTGGATTGCGACCCGCCGTTCCCTGAACGCGAGCGCTCGTAGACCCGGGCGCCGGCGGGCCTCCCGCCTACGCCGCCGGCGGTAGACAGGCGCCGCCTCGACCGGTGGGTTCAGAGGCTCCTGGACGGGGGCGTCCCGACTGACAGGGTCGTGCTGCATTGGGCGTATACATTCCCAGCAGGCGCGCCTTGATATGGCCAACGGCGAGTGGATCTACGCGCCGACGGACTCCTCTCCCCCGAGCGGGGTGCTGCTGCAATTCGGCCACCGAGTGGGAACAGTCCATGTGTGGCTGCGCTCTGGAAGCCACGTCCACGTGTCAGTCAACACGGGGATCCAGGAGCAGGTCCTGGCCAAGCTGGAGGGCTGGACCGTGCACTGGAACAAGGGAAGGCCGCCCGTCCCGCAGGGGGCTGGCGCCGGCGGTCAGCAGGGGTTCCCGCTTCAGCCGCCCCTGCCGCCTGCAGACTTGACGTCACCGCCGGTCGCGTGACCAGCGGCCCCGCCTCACGCTAGGACCCCTCCGCGGTGCTCCTGGTCCCTTCCGCTACCCGTGGGTCCTCCCCTGGCCCTCCCCCCGCCATCTAGGATACGGCCCCCGTGCGCCCGAGGGCGCTGCAGTCAGCGCCTGCGCTGGGCCTTGCCATTGACACGGTCGTAGATCGAGAATTTGTCACAAGGTCTGTGCAGGAAGTATGAGTCCTTCCATCTGCCCCCGCCTCCGCCCCCCCGGGCCGCTTGCTGCTACCTCCTGCGCGCAGCCCCCAGTCAGTAGTAGGTTCCCGCTGCTGGCCGGCGCAGTCCGACAGCATCCCGCCCGAGAATCGCGGCGGGGTTGGGTCGGGCGGGTCGGGTTCGGGCCAACCAGGGGGGGGTGGCCGCCCGAGACTGGCGAGAGCAAGCTGCTTCGCCGGGGCGCCCCCAGGAGGGCCCGGTCCGCCCGCCGGCGGTTGCCCGCCCCCCCCCCGGAGGGTTTTTCCGAAGGGCTTATCGAAGACGCCTGCGGCGAATCACTCACCGCCGCCCCCTGCCCCTTTGGAAGAGTCTCTGTGGCCGACAGCTGGGCCAGAGCTTGGCCAAGCTATCGGGCCAGTTGTTCCCCGAGTCGGTTTGGAAAGACTTCGGGGAACGCATGGGGGAGCAAGAAGAGGAGGAGAGGTAGGATGAGGAAAAATGATGATGATGATGATGATGATGATGATGATGATGATGATGATGATGATGATGATGATGATGATGATGATGATGATGAGGAGGAGGAGGAGGAGGAGGAGGAGGAGGAGGAGGAGGATGAGGAGGAGGAGGAGTTCTCTTGGGCGCCTCTTGGGGCACTCCTGGGGCCTCCTGGGAGCTTCCTGGGGGCCTCTTGAAGGGTTCTTGGGGGCCTTCGGGGCTTATTGGGGGCCTCTTTGGCCGTCTGAGGGTGTTCCTGGCTTGTCTGACGCCGTCGGAAGCCGTCTTGGGGGCCTGTCTGGGTCGTCTTGTGGCCCTCTTGGGGCATATCATGGGCTCTTAGAAGCCATCTTGGGCTCTTGGGAGCCTTTTAGGCCGTCATGGGGCCATCTTGGAGGCCTCTTGGGCGATCTTGGGGGCCTCTTGCGCCGTCTTGAGCCGTCGAAATCCCGAGAAGAAGCAAATGCCCAAATTTGTCAAAAACCAAAGGAGAATCAATGATTGTGGCCTCGCCGTGCCCTCCTGGAAGACCTCCTGGACGCTTTTTGGGCCGTCATGGAAGCCTCTTGGGGGCCTCTTGGGGGCCTCTTGGGCCGTCTTGGGCCATCTTGAGGCCATCTTAGGCCGTCTTGGGTGCATCTTGGGCCGTCTTGGAGGCATCTTGGGCCATCTTAGCCGTCTTGGAGGCCATTTTGGCCGTCTTGGAAGCCCCTGGGGCCCTCTTGGGGCTGTCTTGGGGGCCTCTTGGGCCGTCATGGGGCCATCTAAGAGGCCTCGTGGGCGATGATGGGGGCCTCTTGGGCCGTCTTGAGCCGTTGGAAGGCCGAAAAGAAGCAAATGCCCAAATCCTTCAAATACCTAAGGAAAAACAATGATTTGGTCCTCTTCGGGCCCTTCTGGAGGACCTCTTGGAGGCCTCTTGGGCTGTATTGGAGGCCTCTTGGGGGCCTCTTGGGCCATCTAGAGGCCATCCGAGGCCATCTTGGGTGCATCTTGGGCCGTCTTGGATGTATCTTGGGGCCATCTTAGCCGTCTTGGACGCCATCTTGGGCCGTCTTGGAGCCGTCTGGAGCAGGAAAAACCTTTTGTAGCCGGGTCTGGGCAATCCTTCCGGACCCCGGCGGGACGCGCTGGAGGCCCAGGGGGAGTTCTTTTGGAAAAAGAACCAAGACCAAAACCGAAAGGATCCAGCACGCCAGGCACCCCTGCGATGAATCGACAGGGGGCGGCGGAACTGGCGACCCGTCCTCCGCTTCCTCCCCCTCCTCCTCCTCCCCCTCCTCCTCCTCCTCCTCCTCCTCCTCCTCCTCCTCCTCCTCCTCCTCCTCCTCCTCCTCCTCCCTCCTCCCTCTCCTCCTCCGTCTCCTCCTCCTTCTCCTCCCTCTCCTCCTCCTCCCTCTCCTCCTCCTCTCCTCCTCCTCCTCCTCTTCCTCCTCCTCCTCCTCCTCCTCCTCCTCCTCCTCCTCCTCCTCCTCCTCGGGTCGCCTGCGGCCCCAGGGGAAACCGTGTACCCCCCCTCCTTGCCCTCTCGCGCCTGTCTCTCCCCCCCCTTCCCCTCCTGCCCCCCCATCCCTCCCCCCGCCCCGCCTCGCTCTCCCATGGGGGGTCGGGTCAGGAGGGCCTGGCTCGGGTTTGCTTGGGGCGGGGGCCGGAGCAGGCAGTGCGGAGGGCTGCGGGCCTCCCCGCTTGGAGAAGGGGGCGGATCCTTTCTAGGCGGCCGCCGGCAGAAACCATCCCCCGCTCAACTCCCTTCCCCCCCTCCCTCCCCCGCCCTTCCGCCCGGCGATCTGGGTGGTCGGGTCGGGTTGGGCCGGGCCTCCCCTCTTTGGTTTGTCCTCTCTCCCTCCCTCTCCCCCCTTTGGGGTGGTTTCCTCTCCCTCTTCCTGTCACCGTCCCGTACCTGCGGGGCACGTCGACCAGGCGGCGTAGGGGGGATCGGGCGAGCCCAGGGCAGGTATGCACTGCCTGGCCCCCTCCTTCCACACCACGGGGTCTCTGAGGTGCCTCTCAGCTGGCTTTCGCGATTTTTTGAGCGGAGCTGTCTAGGAGTGGACCTGGACTCTCTGGCGGCGCGCCGCCCCTTGCTCGTTTCGCGCGCCAGCTGCGGGGGCCCAGCGCCGGTCCACGAAGTCCGCATTGTCTCCCGGACGAACTCGGCTCTGCAGGCCCTCCCTTCCTCTCCAGCGCTGGCGGTCGGACGTGGGGTCGCGGCCCCCTGCTGACAGGGAGCTGCGTGCGAAGCTTCCGCATGCCAGCGCACTGGGGGCACACCTGCCCGCCTGCCCCTCCTCCACGTTCTCCCCTCTTCTCCTTGCTCCTCCTCCCCCCGTCGTGATAATCCTCTTCCTCCGCCCCCTTTCTTTGGCTGTTTTGAGCTCGAGCCCTCTGGGTTCTCCTTTCCCTCTCCTCCTCCTCCCTCCTCCATCGCCTCCGAGGGAGGGCACGACGTACAAGGCAGGATTGGGTGCGAGGCTCGAAGATTGGGGTGTTCGGGCAGTTTTCGTGCCTGCCTCGGCCTTCGGTGGCGCTCCTGTCGCCAAGGCTGGACCCGCCAAGAGGGGGAGAAGCAAAATGGGTAAGGAGTGGGCCGGATAACCGAGATGGAGAGAGGAGGTCGGAGGAAATGGAGGTGGAAGAGGGAGGACGAGTGTGTAGGATGAAAGAGGAGGCAGAGGAAGTTTCTAATGGACTCCAGCACCTCTCCTCCCCTTCCCCTTCCCCCCCCCTCTCCTCCCTCCCCACGCCTGACCTCCCATTCATCCTGCCGCTCCCACACATCCGACGTCGTGTTGTTGTTCGCAGCTCAACTCCCCAGAGGTACGGGCCCCTTCTCAGGGACGGGCCCCTGGAAGACCGAACGGTGCCCCTAAAACGCCTCCCGCCGTCACCTCGTTCCGCGACGCGAGGCTGTCAGGATAGTTCCCATCATGCCGCCCCTCTTTCCTCCCTCGCCTCCCCCCTTCTGCGGCTTGGTCCCCGCCGCCCCTCCCACCCTGACCTTCCAGGAGGGCTGAAACATCGCACCAGCACATCGACGTCTCAATTCCAGCCGAGGTGTTGGGCAGTCCAGGTAGGTCTATACGTCTGGAGGGCTGTGTTTCACCACTCTGGAAGGTTAGAGTTCTTCCTCGGCGGACTTCTGGCCGGCAGGAGCCGGCGGCAGTAATGCGGTGGCAGGTCCGCTGGCGGAAGCCGGCGGAGGTAAACAAGTGCTCCCCGAGAGGTGCAAATTCATGTTGACTCTGGGCTTTCAGCACCCGTGCGACCGAGACCGTTGTTTTTTGCAGCGAGGAGCCGCAGAGGTCTGGGCCCCTTCCTGGGGAAAGGGCTGGGTATTTTTCGATGGCCCCCAGGCCCAGTGAGGGCCCCGAGGAGGCCGAAGGTGGCAACACAAATTCAGGAGGGGGAAAATCACACAGACACAAGTAATCGTCGACTCCCAGGATAATATGGGAACATGTGGGAAGTGGGGGGAAGACGAAAACCCCTAAAAATATAAGAACATATGGGGAACCCTGGGATTTGTGTATTTATTTGTGTGTCCTTGGGCCCCTTGAAACATGTCCGTAGCGATTGCGGTTTTCGTGGCGCCCGGGCCAGGCGGGGCTGCTGGAAGGCATGCGGAGGCGAGAGAGCCTGCAAGAAGCAGCGGAAACGTCCGAAAAGGCCCGCCCTCCTCCTCCTCCTCCTCCTTCTCCTCCTCTATTATCGTGCCCCCTCGTGCCCCCTCGTGGGCCATCTCGGGCGGCCGGGGCAGGAGCTGGAGAACAGGGACTGGGGCAACCAGGACATGTCGGAGCTCATGCGCGCGAGCCGGTACGTCACGTAGTAGGGCCCCGCCTCGCCGCGCGGCAGGGCTCCCGCGCTCCAGCCCGCAGCGTCGGCCACATATTGGGGGAGGTGGAGCTCCCAGACATCCAGCGCAGTGAGACATGCAGTTCGGCAGAGGGAAACAATTAGTGTCGGCGGCGAGCCAGGGGAGGAAGTGAGAAGGAGGAGGCCTTCTCCGAAGGCGGCCTGGCTTCTCAGAAGTCCGGGCGCCGTCTGATACGGTTCTCGTTTTTTTTTGCCAGGAGAAGGCTCACAAAGCTTCTCAAAGGGCCGGGGTTCTTCCGAGCCTTCTGAAAAGGCCCGCCCCGTCTTACTTTTCCCCCGGGCTCGCCGCCAATAGTGGGCACCAAGTTTTTCCCCAAGTTCAAAGTGCACACGCGCGGGGAAAATTGCTGTCGACGTGCGACTCATTCAACCCACTACCAATGTTGATATCACTGGGTGGGGCATTGACAGATGAAGCTGGCATGAATGTTCGCTACTTTCGCCCGAGGCCATTACGAAAGTTTTTGCTCCGGTTTGTCGCATATGGAAACTCAACATACATCAGTTGTCGAAGCTCCGCGCGGATTTCTTGGCTAGGCGCTGGGGTCCACTGGCAGCGCCTCCATCGCCGCCCCTGGCGCTGGATAAAAAAATTGGTTCTCGAATTCCAAAAACTTGTTTTTTGAATCCAAAAACCACTTGTGGCCGGTCGGTCCTCCGCTCGGCGGCGCGCCGAGGGAGAAAGGGAGAGGGGGCAGGCTTCTGGGAAGGCGGCGGGGCTTCTCGGAAGCCCTCCTGCCTTCCCTGACCTTCCACGGGGGTTATAAAACAGCACCAGGACCTTGGCGTCCAAATTCCTGCCGATGTTTTCAGCAGTCCAGAGAGGTATAGAGGTCTGGAGGGCTATTTTCTAGCACTCTGGAAGGTCAGGGTTCTGGGAGGCCCTCCGTGGCTCCGGAGAGAGGACGGCCGTCTCAGAAAGCCAGCCCCCTCTGCGTTTCCCCCTGGGCGCGCCGCCGGGCTCGGTCGAGCACGAGCCGGATTTGGTACCATCCCGCCTCAGCGGGCGCCATCTCATGCAGTCTGGGCTCCTCTTTGGCTGCACCTGGCCTCATCAGGCGATCCCAAACATGGATCAAGGGGGCGTGGATTAGCGACGGGTGCCGTTCCCATTGGAAATCGCGGATTTCCGCCGCCGAGCGAGGCGGCACCAGCCGCATGTTGGGGAGGGCACCTCCCCCGACCCATGGATTTGGCGACCGCGCGCCAAATCCATGGATCGCTAATCCATGTTTGCGCGCTCCCGATCTAATCTGGTTTTCCTCCCAGCTTAATAGCCTATAAACGTTCTTACGAAGACCGCTGCAGCCCGTCCAGAGACCGCCGAAGACCGCCCAGGGCCAGTGGGCAACACTGGCTCCATGGTCGCATGGTCGAGTACGAACTCCTTAAGTCAGGGACCAGGGCTCTCCCAGTTGTGACTGATCGGTCCTCCTCCTCGCCCGCCGCGCCATGTTCGGCGCAACCCCGGGCGCTGGCGTGTGCAGAAAGCCATCGCGTCCCCGGGGCGCCCGCCGTTCGCTGCGCACGGCAAGGCACGTGCGCGCATCCGCCCTTGCGCGTTTCGCGGACTGCCCTTGTCTGCCAGGGGGCGCCAACTGACCCCAGAGGAGGAGATTGCCGATGCCGCTACCCTGGCCTCCTTTCTGCCTATTGGGGCATCCTGGGAGGCCGGCGTCGCCACGGCTGGATTTGCTTCGAAATTTTGGCCAGAACGCATCCAGGGAGAGGTCTTGGAAGTAGCGGTGTCGGTATCTTCTCGTCCCCCCAGGACCACCCCTGACATATTCGCGTCGTGAAGCAAGTCTCAGCGACGAAGGGTTTTTGATGATGTTCGACCTCTGCGTCTGCGGGGCCGTAAAAACACGACTCGGTATGAAAAGCCTGCTCTTGAAGAAGTCGAGTGCAGACCTCTGGGGAGCCAGGCTGTCGAATACTGACGAGGTCGAACGTCTGGGACTTCACCGTTCCTGGCCAGGCCCATCCTGCGCCGGTGGCCCAGACATTCGACGCCGTGGCTTTTTCAAAGCAGTAGGCCCCCAGAGGTCTGGACTCTCCTTCTCGAGCACCAGAGTCTCCACCCCATGACGCCATTTTCGACAGGGCCCAGTACAGGGCCCCCTAAGTGGGGAAACCATGAGGTACCGATGCCGCTGCTACCAGGACCTCTCCGGGGGTGCGCTCTGACCAGAACTTCGAGGCGAATCTGGCGGTGGCGACGAGGGCCTCCGAGGAGGCCCCAAAAAGGGGACAACGGGGAAAGGGTAGAGGGATAGAGGTACCTGTCCTTCCTCTGAGCAAGGGCAACAGATCTCCCCAAAAACGTTCCGTCGCGATCTGCTTCGACGCGAGGACGTCTGCTGTTCGGGCCACACCTCGAACCTCCAGCGGCCGAGCGGGACGATCCGGGCACCCCCTAATATGGAGCGCTTCGACGAGGCGCAGTTCTGCTGGTCGGCCTCCCGCGGCGGGCCGGTCCTGGCCAGAACGCCCCGGAGGCTTCCTTGTCTGAGGAGGGCGACGGAGACGTCCACGGCCCGGCCTCAGTTTGTGTTCCACCAGCTTCCAGGCCCTGGATTCCTCATCTTAGGGTTAAGTCGGGCGTGTCCCTCTACAGAAGGAATATCCAAAAATAGAAAAAAATAGTCGGGGGACGATTTTTGGAATATGTTTGAGCGTTGTTTGTGAATGTGTAGTGCATTTTACAAAAATCGTACAAAATGGGACATGCCCGACTCAATCGTGGGGTCTCTTATACATCCAACGCCCTCACTCGGCAAGGTCGCTGGCCGCTTCGCCCCTCGGGTGGCGCCCCCCCCGGATCCGTGGGAAGACCGGGGAGGGATCTCCTCATTTGGGCCCCGCAGCCCACCCTGCGGGGCCCCTGCACGCCACAAGCCTGCGCTGCCCCCTGCGTTTCCCTTGACGACCTTGCCTTAAGTCGGGCCTGTCCCTCTACAGGGGGAATATTCGAAAATTGAGAATTACTCCGAAGGTAAGTCCCCACATGATAATCTGTTCAGCTTACCCTTAGCCCTTCCCCCGTCGCCCTGGCGGACATCCTCTCCTCGCCCTGAGCTCAGCTCTCTCCTCTTCCTCCTCCTTTTGATCTATCCTCCTCCTCCTGCTCCTCCTCCACCTCCTCCTCATCATCGCCCTCCCTCTACCCCTGCCCCCCTCGTCATCCTCCTGCCGCTTCTCTATGTGCACCTCCTTTCTCCCTGGTCGGGGCAAGCAAGTCGATTTTCCTCGGCGCCGTCGCCGCCTCGGCCAACGCGCGCGCGTTCGCCGACGGCTAGATCGCGAAACCCCTCTGGGACAGCCCCGCGGGCCATGCGTTTGGGACAACCCCGCGGGCCGCTCGGGCGCGAGGGCAGGCCGTCGGGACAACCCCGCGGGCCAGACCGTTGGGACAACCCCGCGGGCCTCAAGCTGCGCGCCGCGGCGCTCAAGCGGGAGGCAGCACGAAGCCAAGCTCCGCGGCGAGCTGCTCGGCCTCATCCCTGGAAGTCTTCGCTGTCTCATCGGACTCCTTGAGCGCCTCCCGCAATGACGCCGGCGGCCCGCGCTCCAGAAACTCGCGCGAAGGCGGGGCAGGATCAGCATGTTCCGCATGCACGTGGCGCGGGAGAGCATACTCAAGCTTGAGGAGCCCAAAGTGACGACAATTACAGGTTGCCGATGGCCCGCTCGGATTACCAACATGATGTGCGGGCCCCATAGGGAGGGGGCTCACGCCTGAGACTTTTTCGCAATTCACAGACCAGGCTCTCTCGCCTGAGACTTCCTCCGTAATCAAGCTTGAGGAGGCCAAAAGTGACAACAGTTACAGGTTGCCGATGCGCCGCTCGGATTACCAACATGAGGCTCGGGCTCCATAGGGAAGGGACTCCCGCCGGCGACTGGGACATCCTCAATACTCAAGTTTGACGAGCCCAAGAGCGACGGCAGTTACATGTTGCCGATGACCCGCTTCGAATTCTAACATGCAGTGCGAGCCCCATAGGGAGGAGGCTCCCGCCTGAGACTTCCTCGTAATTCAATCACATATGAGGCTCCCGCCGCATAATTCCTCCACATTCAGGCCTCAGTACCCCAACGGTGACGACAGTTACAGGGTTCCGATGACCCGCCCGGATTAGAAATATGAAGAGCGGGCCCCATAAGGAGAGTGTTCCCGAGACATTCAGGCCTCAGTACCCCGAAAGTGACGACAGTTGCAGGGTCCCGATAGCCCTCTCGGATTAAAAAATATGAGGTGCGAGCCCCATATGGAGAGGGCTCCCGCCTGAAACCTCCTCGCAATTTACTCACAGACGAAGTTCCCGCTCGATACTTCCCCTATAGTCAGGCCTCAAGAACCCGAGAGTGACGACAGTTACAGGATCCCGATGACCCGTTCGGATTATAAATATAAGGTGCGGGCCCAGAGGGGCTCCCGCCCGAGACGCCCCCGCAATTCACTCACACACGAGGTTCCCGCTCGAGACGTTCCCCATATTCAAGCTACGCAGTGAGTGGTGACGAAGCGATGAGGGAGCGAGTGGTGGTGAGGACAATGTTGATGATGATGATGATGAGTGGTGATGATGATGAGTGGCCGAATGATGATGATGATGATGATGATGATGATGATGGTGATGATGATGATGGTGATGGTGATGGTGATGATGATGATGATGATGATGCTGATTATGATGATGATGGTGGTGTTGTTAATGATGAGGATGCTAACGATGATGATTCAACGAATGATGGAAATTCTGTTGATGATGAGGATGAACATGGTGTGAGTGTGAATGAGTGATGATGATGGTGACGATTATTAGGCTGATGATGAGTAGTGACGATGAGTTGTGATGATGATGATGATGATGATGATGATGGTGGTGATGATGATGATGATGATGATGATGATGATGATGATGATGATGATGATGATGATGATGATGA